GAGTTGCAAATGTGTTTTCTCAGTTATTTGTTGGCCTTTTGACTTTGCTTATGGTTGCTTTTGCCATCCAAGCTGTATTATTTATTGAGGGACAGGCTCTGTGCTGGGTGCTGGGGAAACCAGGAAGAAAAAGGCCAATGTGACCCCGCTTTCCTGGGATGTCCAGTCCAGAGATGCAAAGGACGTTGGGTTCAGTAACAATAGCACCAGATATGAACAGAGAGCTGGACTCCAGGTTTGGTCCTGATGAAAGAACTCTAGGGCCTATGGCTACCAAATCTATAATAGCCCCTACATCGGTGGTCGCCAACCTTTTTGGCACCAGGGTCCAGTGCTCCTATGAGAATTTAATGCCTGATGATCTGAGGTGGAGCTGAGGTGGTGATGCTAGTGCTAGGGAGCGGCTGCAAATACAGACGAAGCTTCGCCAGCTCGCCTGCCACTCATCTTCTGCTGTGCGGCCCAGTTCCTAAGAGGCCACGGACTGGTACTGGTCCATGGCCCGGGGGTGGAGGGATTGGGGAACCCCTGCCCTGCACAATACAGATGGAGAAACAGCCCCAGTGAAGGAAGAGACTGGCTCAAAGTTTCATGGTAGCTCAGCTCTGGAGACTTGGTTCAAAGCTCTTTTCTATTAAAAAGCTGCTCCTAACCAGCTTTAGTTCTTGTAAATCATCTCCCCAGAACTCTGTTCCCCTCGCCCCATAAAGTGAGGGGGTAAGATCAAGATTTTAACTGACTCGGTCTGTGCTAGGGGAGCATTTGGAGTATCAAGTAGCACCAGAACCTTGCTGGATAAAGACAGCGCAATTAAGAAGCATCATCTGCCGGGAGGAAAGCTCTGCGGAGAGCTGCCCTATGGACAGACCCAGAGAGGCATTTCCAGGGACTTGGCTCCTCTCACTGACCAATCCCATTCTAACTATGGCTGGGCCGGCTCTGAATACCTCTGTAATGAGAAACTTCTCTCATCAACTCTTTGGTTACTTTGAAGTAACAAGGGAGGATAAATGCTTATTTTTTCTTTATTTTCCAGGCTTTAAAATTAGTTGATTTCTTTCACATCACCCAAATATTTTTTAAAGGATTATTTTGAACTTATAGATTTAAACATATCTCATGTTTTAATATAATGCAATTGTAGATACTCAAATTGTCCCATCTTTAGCAAGAGAACTCCTTCAAGGTAGAGCCTGAGTCCTTTCCATCAGCCTTCAGTAGTAGCCTTTGAGCTTGCTTAACATCTAGTATGACAAGATGCTTCAGGCTCATCTTGTACATTTTCTGCCCCAAGCCTGCAAACGGCCATTTTTCCAAAGAGCTCTTTGGATATTAAAAGAACACAGTCTGAGTTCAGCTGTCTCTTGGGAGAGTTTCTTCATGTTTTCTGGCTGAATAACATGAAAATTAGGGCATGGGTGTCTCTTGCCTAACTTCAAAACAGATACTCTGTCCAAGGTTTAGATATAAAGGGGGTAAATTCCTTGTGCTTCTCTAAGATTTTACAGTTGTTTCTCAATTTAAGGCAATGGTTTTCCACCCTGTCTCCATACTAGAACCTCCAAAGAAGCTTTTAAAAAATACCGATACCTGGATCCATCCCCAGAGATTCTGGTTTAACTGGACTAGGATCTCGCGTGGGCAGTAGGGTTTAAAAATGTGAAGCAACCAGATGGTGCTCAACCCTGGCTGTGCATTGCTTATCATACCATTCCACATATGTTTTCACACTTTACCACATATGTATGGAGCTCTAAACAATACTGCTGTGCATGCCTTAAAAATATATGTAAATTTTATCCTACTGAGTATATCATTCAGAAGCTTGTTCTTTTTCGCTATATTGTTTTAATGCACCCTAAATTAACACTTGTACTTTCGGTTTATTCATTGTAACTATTGTAGCACATTAAAATCTTCCTTCTATCCCATCATTTTCTGCTCCCCTTTACTGCAAAATTCATGTGCAGTTAATTGTTCAGGCCAGAAACCTTGGAGTCATCCTTGACTCATCTTTGTCTCACATCCCACATCCAGTCATTCAGGAAATCCTCTTAGGTCTGTCTTCAAATATATCCAGCATCTGACAATTTCTCAGCACCTCCACTGCTACCACCTGGTTCTACTCACCATTATCTCTTGCCTGGATTGCTGCAATAGCATCTTAAGTGGTCTCCCTGGAACTTTTGATCTTCTACAATCTATTGTCTCAAAGCAGTCAGAATATACAAATCAGATCATGTCACTCCTCTTCTTCAAACTCTCCAATGGATTCCCATTTCCCTCAGTAAAATTCAGAAGTTCTTATGGCTTGCCAGAACTACATAGTGTGCATCTATACCATCTCACCACCTACTGATCTCATTTCCTACCTCTATCCCTCACTCTTGTTGCTCTATCCACACTTCCTTTCATATTGTTCTTTGAATACAACGATCCCATCCCCACTTCTGGGCCTTTGTACTTGCTGTTCCTTCTGCTTGGAATGTTATTCCTCCAATATTCATAAGACCTGCTTTCTTACTCCTTTCAGGTCTCTGCCCAAATGTCATTTTATGAAAGAGGATCTCCCTGGCCAACCTATCTACATCACTCCCTATGCTTATATTGAATTACAGGAAAAACCGACTCCTACTTTTAACTAGTTTGTTGGGTTGGCCAGGATCATCATTATGTAACATAGAAAGGTGACCAAGTATACCTGGGAAGAAGCATGTCCTTGAAAGGATCACCCCAAAACTCCAGGGATCCCTGCCACTATCATCCTTTATGAGAATTGTTTAATAAACAAACAAATCCCCAAACAGACCCTTCTCCCTTAAACCTAGAAAGGATTTGAGGGGTTAAACCCGAACAAGACAACTTTCCCTTCCTCTTCCTTCCCAAACATAAACACAAATACACATTTGTCTACTTATCTCATGTGACATGAGTAACAGAGCGGAGGGAAGGTAGCCAGGACTGAGAAGTGTTCAGTCTAGACTGATTTCATCTACCCTCTAGGCTCACAACCATCTCCAGTCTCTTCCCCACAGCTCACCTTGCTTACCCAACCCCTACCCCAGTGATACCCCTGGCTCTGGGAAAAGAGGGATAAAGTAGACATAGGGGCTATTTTTTAAATTTTAAAATAATCATCGATGTGAAAAGGGCACTAGAGAACTCAGTGTATTGGAGAAGAGGACATTCAATCAGGTAAACAAACCACACTCCTTCCTCCCTGTTCTCCCATACCTACTAATTCCTTTCTCTTTGGCCATATCATAGTTCAGGGCTTGATCCTGCCTTAAGTGACCTCTTTACCTGATCACCTACCCAAATCTCCTCTACCTTTAAGGTTCAGTTCAGGTCCTGGATTTCCCCACAGCCATATCCACATCATTAGTGACCCTTACCACCTAAAGACTATTTTTCAAAACTCATCAGAGATTATTGAGAACAGCCAATTCTGGGTAATTTGGGTGTGACCACTGGTCCAAACATGACACTGAGTTCTTTTAGGATGACTGCATGTTGGAATCACCCAGGAGCTTTAAGGAATGTTTTTGACTGGGTATCATCCCAGAGATTCTGATTTAACAGGCCTGCAGGTGTGACCTGGGCATCAGAATTTTTTAAAACTTCCCCAGGTGGTTCCACTGTGTATCCAGATTGAGAACTATCAGCTCGCCAGCAAGGACTCTTTCCTGCATTCTCCTGGTAGTCTGCATTAGTATAGAATCTCAATTTATCAAATAAAGAGAAAAGAGTCTGCTGATGCTTTAGTCCCTGCCTGGGAAAGCTCAAGGCTGCCAAGAGAATTTACTTTTTGTTCAAGCCGAACACCTGACCATAGGTCTCTGAGCATCCTTTTCTTAAAGGAGCATTCATTAAAAAACAAAACAAACAAACAAAAAACCAACCTTAAAATTATAAGTCTTGAGATGTGTATGTTTGTATCTCCTGAAACCCAGGAGTGTCCTTCTCAAGGACCTGGGAGCCATTCCTTTGAAATATAATCATCAGGACAGACAGGCCTCCATTTCCCCAGTCTCTGTGGGAGATGAACTAGCAGACACTGATAGCCTAATCATATTGACCAATCCCAACCCTCTTTTTATAATTTTCCACTTCCCTGACTCTGCTCAAGCTCTCTTGTGTTCCCTCTCCCCATTTCTTCATCCTCCCTTTAAAATTCCAATCACCTCTGCATGAAACCCTGTTGAGCTCAGTTTTATACTGAGACCTCTCCCCTACTTTAGTCTTTACTGAATAAAACCTGTCTTTCCTGCCTTTAACTGGTGTCCGGCTTTGTTTTTCTTTAACAGTCTCCATTTAAAAAAAGATCCTTAGGTGATTTGCATGCTCATTAAAGTTTAAGAAGCATTGTTGTACAATATTTATCATTCCCTGAATAACTTCTAATGAACAGCCTTGAATGGTGGACAGGAATTATTATGCCCATTTACCAGTGAGACCTGAGAGCCAGAGCTTTGTTCAGTCACACAGTTAAACTAGAACTTGAAGCTACCTCATGACTCAATCTGGTGCTCTTTTCATAATGTCATGCTAATCAGAGACAGAAGACCCACTGCACATGATGACCGAGGAATAAAACAGTTGGTGAAAGAAATCATAATAAGGTTTCTCTCTATGCATCCACTGCCACAGTGTCCTCACAGGCTCTACTCTTCTTTATTTGCAAGAGAGCCATTTCAGAATCAAGTGTCTTCTAGGCACCAAAGAACTCTCAGCTGAGTTATCTTATTAGTAGGTGGAGTCCCAGGATCACAGCTACTGGGGAATGAGATGAGTCACTGTACTAACCCCGTTCAAGTACTGAAGGGTGTTTCCTCAAGTCTGCAGAAGCCCAGACTTTCACAGGCCTGTGCACACACGACACAGCCACTGCCACGTGAAGTCAGACACAGTCACAGTCTTAGTCCTTTATCCCATACACGGAGAACACTAACTTTTCATGTTCAATGTCTTTGGCATGGATAATTTAATTTCAGCTATCATTATGGTAAATATTTTTATTGTTAGCTTTATCAGAAAAACTTGTATTACAGACAATTTCTGATGCATAATTTTATTAGAGCCAGAGATTATTTCTTCTAGAAAAACAAACCTCTGAGGTTAGAATGGAAGACAATGAAAAAATAGATTTCATTTTATAATCTATCTTTATCAAGCCATCCAGAGTACATCAATTCCTTTAAATGAGCATTACTTTAATATTATATAACAAGTCATTAATAGACAACACACAAGTCCAAGACCTTATATCTTTAATTTTCAAGTCAATCATCAACTTTCCTTAGATTTAAAGACATGAAAACAAAACTGATTTCAAGTAACAGCACTCAAATACCATATACGTTTGTAATTATGTGTGCCAGTCAACTGTAAGCCTCATATTTTTCAGGTTTTAGTTGAAAACTAAATCATTTCTTAGATTTCTTATCAGTCTTGTTTGGGGGTGATTTTGTTTCCTTGAGCCTAAACAGAGCACAATATTAAAACGCATCATGATTTATACTGAAAATATGGCATAAGTGAGTTTCTAACTTGTTAGGGACACGAGTGGAAACATAACATCCTGTAAACACCCAGGTTGAGCGCCCTTAGTTATCCCTGAGTTGGGCAGTTTCACACAATCATTTTTTCTCTGAGGCTGAAGTCTGCGGTTTGATCTTCCTAGCTGCTTCCAGAACAGAAACTGGGTTTACTTTATCTCCAAATTCTTTTTCTCGGTGCTCAAGAAGAATGCCCTAAAAGGAAAGGAGAGGGAACATCAGTCCTTATTCTGAGTTATTCGTTCATGAGACAGACAGTGAGTAACAGCTATCTGTCAAACCCTGTGCAAAAGCAGGAGGGAACAGAGACTCTCAAGGGCCTATTCTGCCCTTGAGGCATTCAGTCTTTTGGGGAAGGTAGATCAAGGGATGGCTGCATCACAATATTTGGACTGTATAAACAGCACTTTGGGAGCAGGAAGTTAGGAGTGATCAAATATAATAAGGCAATCAGAAGAGGCTTCACAGATGATAAAGCATGAGAGGTAAACAGGATGTCTACAGGTAGAGGTGAGGTAAAAGCACATTCCAGGCAAAGAGAACTGAATGAGCTTACAAGGAAAAGCCTAAAGTGTCGAAGCAGACTCAGAGGTCAGACCTTGGCAGGTATTGAATAACCATCTGAAAAGACAGGCCCTCTCTTCGCTTTAGTTTTCCTAAGAAACTAGAGGCTGCTTACTTCTGATACTGTGCCACAAAGTGCACAGGATACCCCAAAGTACCCAAAAGTGGTAAGAAAGATAAAATAATGTGTTCGAGATCAGCATCTAGGAATCCTTGTTAAAGAGTTCTTTGACCCATAACATCTGGGAACTCATCTTAAATTTAAAAAATAAATCTCTGTAAACATGTTCATTGTGCCATTATTTATAAAGACTTTAAGGAAAACAAAAAGTCCCACCACTCTGTGGTGACTACAGGGAAGCTGTGCGTTAACTACCTGCACAATAAAGCAGTATGCAGACATTACAAATATGAGGAAGAACATATGACGACATGGGAAATGTTCATCATACACTGTTAAATGAAAAAGAACATCTAATTTAGTAAGATACCATTCTCTAAAAAACAAAACAAAAGACCTCTCAGCTCACCTCTGTTCTAATGGGCTGTCCACGGTGGCTGAGCTTATAGAATAGCTCTCTCCACCTTTCACTGTTTCTTTTACAAATTTTCTATGTGGAAAACATTACTTCTTTAAAGTAATTATGCTGTAAAGATCACTATTACAAAGGAAATCCCTACTGAGTGGCACCGGCCTGGCACAATGAGACTGTAAAAACTCTGCTCTGAAAAAACATGGGGGCAAGACCTGAAGCTCTGCCAGCCCAGTCAATCTTCCACCAGAAGGAACGGGGGCAGGAGCTCCAGGGAGCACCAACAAAGCCAAACGCCACACCTGGCAACACCAAGGGCATGCCAGCCAGGCTAGGGGAGCCCGTGAGTACCAGCTGAGTCACTGCCAGGCAAAAGAAGGCTGGCAGGTGAGCCAAGCCCTGCCCTGGAGGCTGAGGGAAAACAGAAATAGGGAGAGAAAAGGAATCCCAGAGTTCCAGAGTGGGAAGAAGCTAAACAATCCTCTCAGGAAGTGGCCTGCCCAAGTGCCAGGGCATCTGGAAGGGGTTTTGGGGAACCACTCTGAAAGAGAGGGTATGGGCAGGGGAAGGGCGGGGTCTTCGGAGCAGGACAGATCTGAGTTCCTGAGTTTCATTTCCATTGTACTACTTACTAGCTATGTATCTTTGGCTGAATCATTTCATATCTTTCATATATCTAGGCCCATCTCCTTACATATAGATATAAATAAAAATACCTAATTCCCAGATTAGTTATGAAGAAGACATGATATCACATATATGAACACCTAGAACAAGGCAGGTACTCACTGGCATCCATCATCTCTGACAATTTGATATATTTAGCAGAAAGTTAGCAAACAGGTTTATGTTAAAGCAAATACCAATTCATTCTAGATTCTAATATCGACAAGCAATAGCAGTTACAAAGGTTTAAAAGGAAGAGATTAAAAATAAAGCTTCAAATGGAAGGATTTCTATTCCTGTTAACTTTCATTCCTCCCAAATTGCAAAAAGTACTATGCACTTATTAATGTTAGTAGTGAGATACACCAATGCAGACAACCCTGTCTTTTCACAGACGAGGCCAAGTGTTAAAGTCATGCTAAGACTGGCAGAGACAGGCCTAGAAGTCAGGACCCCAGTCTCTAAGTCCTCCTGCCAGGCTCTTGAGCATACCTCACTTTACTCCATTCTCTGCTCTGCATCTGCCCGACCTCTGCTGGCACTCCCCACCACTGCAGGGGAATTGCCACAGCTCAAGGCTGCCCATGATCTGATGTGGAGCATCCACCCACTGGCGTCCTGGACCCACAGACATCTCATTTTTCCACACATTCCCCTGGAGTCCTCATGGAACTCTGAACCCTCACAGCCAGGGCCTAAGACAGCCTGTCTGATGAGAAGTCTGTTACCTCTCCAGGGGCAGTCCTGGTACCAGGACCCCCACAGGCCTCATCACCCCAACATCTCCTTGCTACTTTCCCTAATTAGGCTTGTTTGTAATCCTTCTTTCCCATTCACTTTTCTCTACTGTCCATCCTAGGAACACAACAAAGTACATCCTTGATAGAATAAAAACTATGTTTTTATTCAAGCACAGAAAACAGAACTTGACACCAGAACACCTGGGTTCAGGCCCAGCAGTGCCACTGATGAGCTGTGCCCCTCAGTGCAGTCACTCACCTCACCTGCAAAACTCTCTATCTCATGACGTTACGGTGATGAGTGAAGAGATGCGGGATAAATGACAATTTCCCTCCCTTTCCCTTCCTCATGTTTCCTGGCTTTCTGGAAGGAAGGCTAGAAGATTCTGGGTAAAAAAGTTACCCCCCTCCACCACCACACTGGGTTGTTGCTCTCACAGACATGGACACCCACAGACCCAAAAGTGAACACTAGGCATTTACCTGCTTTCCTGATCCCACCACAAAAACTCCTCCAAGGATGAAGCCTTCGCCTTCCAGGTTTCCAGAGAAGCCTCCGTTCCGGGCCCGGAAGAAGTTATTCCACACACCCAGCCGGACAAATCCCATAAACATCATCTTCCGCCTTTGGGGGCCATAGAATTTTTTCTGTAGTAGTGAGGACAGATTCCATATGAGTAGCCCGTATGCCTGCCTTCCTGCCTT